CATATCACAATTTCATCTGCTAAATCAGTGTGGTGTAATGCAGCTCTCTGTATTTTGTTTGTGCAGCCAGAGGCCACTGCCGTATTTCTTTGTTCGCCTTTTATGCATTGTATTTTCTTTTTGTGCTTTTCCTCTGTTATTTGAGAGATTGCCACGTTTCAGCAGTAGTTACCTAATGTTTGGTACACATATGTTCTGATTTCTGAACAAAAGTAAGAAAATAAGACAGCTTTGTTAATCTGTTTCAATTGGAAATAAAATATACTGCACATCAAGAACCCCAGTTATTGTGTCCTGTGAGGCTAATTATTCCCGGGCTACACATTTTGGTACCAGGAGTGGGGTGTGCAAAATAAATAAATAATACAATAATAATCTTAATGTAACCTACTACTACACGGTGGCATTTTATGTACGATTAACTAAGAAATACGGCAGTGGTGAAGACTACGGGGATCGATCATCAAATAGAGAGGACGTGTGGCGGTGCGGATTTCACAGCGTGACTGTTGCTGCCTTGGAACAGAACTCATCTGGATCCCCCTCGCTGAAGTACAGCCAGCAGGATTTAAAGGTGTTCCGTATCACAGACTTTCTCCCGTAGTATCCTTGTTATTGGAAAACTTCACTGAATCTTCTGTTGGACTAAATTCTGACCTGAATCAAACATATCGATCACAACATGTCAACCGTTCCAGGTGCTGAGGACAATCTCAGCGGCAGTGATTCATCCAATCAGAGTCTATTAGAAGCGGCAGGGCCAAGCAGGGTTCCTGATGATGAGATACAAAGTCAGCTTCAAGAACTTGCTAAGTTGCGAGATGATCTTGTCAGGCTAAATGATGAAACCCGGGCTCAAAGAGACAACTCTAGTCGTGCCCTCACTCGGTCATATATTTATGTCCCACGTGAACGCCAGGTCCAATTTTTTTGTGGAGAGTGGGAAAAGGATGGGAGATCTGTTGAAGAATTTATTGAAGAGGTTGAGAGGGTCATAAGGACCAGAGAACAGACAACTGAGGAAAAGTGTGATTTCATACTTTCATTGTTGCGAGGACCAGCAATGGAGGAAGTCAGGTTGTGTATGGGGAATAGATCAGTAGGGTCTAGTGATTTATTCTCTTTCCTGAGAAATGCTTTTGGAGAAAGACGCAGTGTTGCACAACTTTTGCAGTCGTTTTACAATCGTAAACAAGCAGATGGAGAAGACCTCCGTGACTACTCTCATGCACTGTCCCAGATACTGAGTTCTGTAGTAAAACAGTTCACAAATGCTGTACCTGATGAGAAAACAGTTCTTAGAGATCAGTTTATTGAAGGTTTAAGGCATGTTCCTCTGAGACGTGAATTAAGGAAAATGGTCAGAGAGAGGCCAGACTCTAGTTTGCTAGATGTGAGAAATGAAGCGCTCCTCTGGGAAATGGAAGATAACCGATCCCACTCTGCTAAAGGAGTAAGGAACAATATGGTTCAGTCAGAAGCATTCGAAACCCAGTGCTCCCTGACTAAAACAACTCCACGCAATGACCCCCTTTCAGCTTTAGATGAGGTGCAACGGGCTGTTGTCCACCAGGGGGAGCAGTTAGCTGAATTAGGGAAAGCATTGACTGCCCTATCAACTGCTGTGGGTGAATTGTGTAAACGTGCTAATCTGACTTCACCAGAACCCAAACAAAGAGTTAGACCACAGCCTGCATTTACACATGATGGTCAGCCGATCTGTTTTAAATGTCAAGGGGTTGGACATATTGCCAGAAGGTGTCCACAAAGCAAAGTTGTTCATACGGATGCTGCCTCTGCTTCTCCTGGGGGGCAGGGAAACTAGACCCCTCGGTTGTCATGAGCCAAACAATTCGGGGGGAAACAACTGGCTCACCAACAGAAGCCTTGGAGAGGGATGTAGTTTTGGAGAGGGCAGTTGGAGAATGTAAGACAGTGGAAATAAAACTACAGGGTGTGAAAGTTTCTTGTCTTCTTGACACTGGCAGTCAAGTAAGTACCATTTCAGAGGGTTTTTTCAACAAACACTGGTCAGAAAAAGACAGCATCATTCATCCTACTTTTGAATGGCTTAAAATCACAGCCGCTAATGGACTAGAAATATCTTACATAGGTTATGTCGAGCTTGAAGTTGAGGCTATGGGTCTGACCATTCCGGAAAGAGGATTTCTTGTAGTTAAAGATTCAGCTCAGTCATCCTCTGTGCCTTGTCTGCTTGGAATGAATGAGATAAAAAAGTGCCAGGAACTAGTACACGGCAAATTTGAAGCCACAATGCATGGTAAACTTGACTGTAGCTGTAGGGAGGCTTTTCATCGAGTCCACACAGTTAGTTTAGCAGACAGGCCCTCATTTGTCAGGATTGCTGGGAAAGAGGCCGTTCATGTGCCAGCCTCTTCTGCAGCTACTGTTATAGCAAAAGGACTTAGAACTGTCAGTGAGAGAGGTCCTTTAATGCTATTGGAGCCTGGCCATTCCTCTTTACCTGGAGGGTTGGTGGTGGTGCCAACCTTGGTGACATCTGAGAGACATGTTTTTCCTGTCCAGGTCATGAACCTATCTGATGAAGATATCTGGTTGCAACCCAGGACTAGACTTGGACTTTTGACTGAAGTTGACTCTGTAAACAGTGACCAGTTGTGTAAAGTTCAGTTTCAGAGAATTGCAGCAGATACAGATGAAGTTAGCATTAGCAGACAGCCTGAATCAACAACAGATGTCCAATCTATTCTCGATAAATTAAAGGTTGGGGGAACTCCAGAGCAAGAAGCACAGCTAGCTCTGCTGTTGGGGAAATACTCATTTGTGTTTGCAGCAGAAGATGAGGACTTGGGTTACACAGACAAAGTACAACATGAAATACACCTCACAGATGACACACCTGTGACGCAGCCTTACCGACGGATTCCCCCCACACAATACAATGAAGTGAGAGAACACATTGGCAAGTTGTTGAGAAAAGGAGTTATAAAGGAGAGCTCAAGTCCATACGCTTCTCCTATTGTGTTAGTGAGAAAAGTTGATGGTAGCCTGAGATTATGTGTTGACTACAGAAAACTCAACTCCAAAACCAGGCGTGATGCTTTTCCGCTCCCAAGAATAGATGAAACCTTTGATGCACTTAGAGGGGCCAAATTCTTCTCCACAATAGATTTAGCAAGTGGGTATCACCAGGTGGCCATGCATGAGCGTGATAGACCTAAAACAGCATTCACCACCCCGTTTGGTCTATATGAGTATGTCAGGATGCCATTTGGTGTGTGCAATGGGCCAGCAACATTTCAGCGACTCATGCAGGCTACAATGAGCGATCTCACCTTTCAGATACTACTGGTGTATCTTGATGATATTTTAGTTTTTTCTGAGACATTTGATGAACATCTTGAGAGGCTTGAAACTGTATTGAGACGGTTAGCTGAGACCGGCCTTAAGGTAAAACTTGAAAAGTGTGCTTTCCTTCAGGACACCGTGAAGTTCCTGGGGCATCAAGTGTCAGCTAAAGGAGTTGGGACGGACCCATCCAAGGTGTCTGCGGTTAAAGACTGGAAGGTCCCATCCACAGTTAAAGAGCTCCAGTCATTCCTAGGGTTCTGTAGTTATTACCGGAGGTTAATCCGAGGTTTCTCACAGACTGCAGGGCCGCTACATGATTTGGTGAACAGATGTTTAAATGCAAAGAAAGCTGGGTGGGCAGGCCGCCATTACGAAGCGATGTGGACTCAGGGGTGTAGCTCAGCCTTTGAGAGGCTAAAGGAAAAGCTTACTTCTGCTCCTATTCTGGGTTTCGCTGATTTCACACAGCCTTTCATACTAGAAACAGATGCCAGTCAGCATGGTCTAGGGGCTGTTTTATATCAGCAACAGGATGATGCTAAACGGGTCATAGCCTATGCCAGTCGCAGGCTACGCCAGGCTGAAAGGAATGACCGCAATTACAGCAGCATGAAGCTAGAACTGCTAGCTTTAAAGTGGGCTGTTGCTGAGAAATTCAGGGGCTATTTACTTGGTTCGAAGTTTATTGTGCTGACTGACAACAATCCGCTTTGCCATCTTAAGACTGCAAAGTTGGGTGCAATAGAGCAGAGATGGGTTGCACAGTTGTCGGTCTTTGACTTTGAAGTAAAATATCGACCTGGGAGCAGTAATGCAGCTGCAGATGCCCTCTCACGGCAGGAGTTTGCAGGGGAGCCTGAAACTGATCCAGATTCAGATTTGGATGGCTGTATTGCTGTTTGTAACCTAATAAGACGAGGAACTGCTCTGGAGCCAGATCTGGTGGTTAAAGGTCTCAAATGTCACGAAGTGAGACAGATACGGGCACACTGAAAAAAAAATAGAGGTTGACAGAACTTAAATTTTATAGGCAACGTGATGCATTTGGTTTTTTGAGTTTTCCTTACTTAAATTCATCGTGGTTGAGTTTACAAAGATTTTTGAGTTCTGCCAACTTAGGTTTTTGGAGTGTTACATAGAAATTTTGAGTTCTACTAACTTAGGTTTTTTAGTTTTAGTCATACATTTTGAGTTCTACTAACTTAGGTTTTTTAGTTTTACTCATACATTTTGAGTTCTACTAACTTAGGTTTTTTAGTTTTACTCATACATTTTGAGTTCTACTAACTTAGGTTTTTTAGTTTTACTCATACATTTTGAGTTCCACTAACTTAGTTTTTTCAGTTTCACCTTTAAGTTCTGAGTTCTATCAACTTTGTTTTATGAGTTTGAAATATAGATTTTGAGTTCTACAAACTCAGATTTTGTAGTGTTATCTGTAAGTTGAGTTCTATCAACTCACTACCCATCATTCAACACACAAAAAATTATGTTAATACAAAATTTTTATTGCACTATATCAACAGATACAAACAAACCACATGTTGAACTGCTATGGGGAGAGCACAGAAGAGCTTGGCGCCCTGAGAACTGAGCTTCTTGAGAACTGCTCTTCTGTCTGTCTGTGTGTGGGGTGAGAGAACAGTGTGTACAGTATATGAGAGCCATGCTGGCGAGCAGAGTAGCAGGCGTGTGTTCACATTGGTAATGGAACCTAACAAGCTGTTATATATCAAGATACAAAACAACAACAACAACATAAACCACATATATTAGAAAAATATACCCACAATGAACTCAGTGAATTTTCTTGGCTTCTAGAAGAAAGCACAGAGGAGCTTAGTGCCCTGTGAACTGAGCTTCTTAAGAAATGCTCCTTTCCTCTCTGTGTGCTTGTGCAGCATGCTTGTTCTTGGAGAAGTTTTCTGGAGAACAATGTGTGTGTACAGACCTATTCATGTAGTGGTTAGCAAAGAGCTATATGTGTGTGTGTGTTCATGGAGAAGTTGTTGGAGAACAATGTGTGTGTACAGGCCTGTTAATGTGGTAGTCGGCAAAGAAGAGCTTTGTGTGTGTGTGTGCTCATGCAGGAGTTATGACAAAGCTGTGTGTGAGTGCATGCGTGTTGATGTCCACGTGAGTGTCAATCATACACAGGCTTCACAGCAACAGCTTCTCTTTCAAGGATCGCGTGCGCTGTGAGCATCTTGATCCAAGTTCGAAAAAGATGTTCTGGATAGCCTCGAAGGTGTACCTCATCTGCTCTGGATAGTTTATGTCCATTGCGTACAAAAGGCCAAACAGGCAGGCGAAGGCAGCTGCGAGGTCAGGTAAGTTGTGTAGTATTACTGCCCCTTCCAAGACGATGGCGATGTCAGTCACTGTTGTCCATGCGGCAGCATCATCATCTACATAGACGGTCAGTATTGCAACGGGCACTCCTGCAACTACCGATTCTTCAGGGTCTGTGTCCTGATGGTAAAAATCAGACACAGCGACATCTTTTAGCGATAGACACCCTGTAACAGTTGCTGTCACCCATTAAAGAACACATATCCTTATTTAGTTGTTTACAGTCACATTTAGTCACAAGACTACCAGCCAATACTTTCCAGTCTCTGGGGCGATATTAAAAAGGCACTGCAAAACTATAGTAATCACACCAAATTGCTCTTGACTTACTTACCACACACTTCAAATAGAACTGTGATGCATCGTCACGAACAAAAATGGGAAGGCCTTACAGTGCTGCTGTCCTTCGATGACACACAATGTCTGTTGTCTGTGAACATGTGCACACAAACAAACACATTGTAACGCAGCAAGATGACTCAAATCAAGAATATCTGTAAACAGCAAATGTCAATGTTTGATTTTGATGATTTAAAGTCATTTTTGTATTTGCATGTAGTTTAGTTTGGGGCACTTTACCCACCTCTTCATCAAGTTTATTCAGCAACATCTCCATATCTGGACCAAAAGCTGCTTTTCTGGCTCGGTACAGTTTTATCAGGCGAGGTACATAGTTGTCGAGGGATGCATTCCAAGTTGCCCGGAGGTCTCTGCTGGTGATTCGATAAAATTCTTCAGATATCTGGACACAAGCAACAAAACAGTCTTTAATTATAATATCCATGTCAGGGCTTAATGTGGTAGTCATGCCAGCCTAAAGCAACAGGAATGAGCAATAGTACACAAATACACAAGGAAATCCATACCTCCTCATGAGAAAACAGTGCAGGCCATCGTTCTTGGACTTCTGACACCATAGGCTGCACTTCTACGATTTCTCTCCGACGATGGGAGAAAGTCAGTTCCATCTTCTGCCTAATCAGACCCATGTTCCTTTTCCTTTTCTTCATTTCTTCAATCAGTGCAAGCCTTTCCTCCTCAAGAGTGGTACCATCATGGTTGTCTGGATATTCTGGAACATGGTTGACCTCTCCACGTTTGGCCCTTTTCAGGATGAACGGAGCAGCCACTCCATCCTCTCCCTTTCTTTTTGTATTCACCATCACCTCATTGCAGCCTGCACGACGCAACTTTGCCCTGAAGTTGCCCATCTTATAATGAAGACTCTTCAGCCATCCATCATAGCCAGTTACACTATCTGTCTCCTTTAGACAAGGATACTTGACCAGAAGACCAGACGCAACAGACACTAATTCATCCTTACTGGGATAGGCGCCTCTGATATCAAAAATACTCTGCCAAAGTTTATTCACAATGTCAGATCTCATATCTCCTGTAAGAATGAGGCGCTTCTGTGTTCTTTCATATACGTCATTTCCCTTACGCAATCTCAGCTCAACATCATACGCAAATTTAGGGATTGTGAATGGATTTGGCCACCGAGTTGTACGCCTTAAAGGGGTCTGGGAAGAATCTGTATTGCTCTGGACAGAACTTGAGGAGGGAGAAGGGAGGGACTCGAACAAGCTACCCTGGACAGAACTTGAGGAGGTAGAAGGGAGGGACTCAAACAAGCTCCCCTGGAAGGAACGAGTAGGGCTCCTCTGCGCCTCATTACAGTCCTCAGAGTGTAAGCTGGCTGTGTCAAGGGAGGACACTGAGCCAATGGAATGGCTATCAGATCGGCTGAGGGGAGATTCCCCAGTGTTCCACACAATGTAAAAGACAGCACGCCCATCTGGCAACTCTGACATTTGAGTCAACTGACATAATGCATTTGAAAAATCGGGGTCCTCGAACTGGAGTGAGAAATCACCTTCCAACTTGATTTTGTCTTTAAGTACATCGATGAGCTGGTCAACAGATGCTGGTATCTCTGTGAGCAGGATTCGACGGGCTTCTTTTGGAGAGATAACTACTCGAAGTAACAAAGTCTGTAAAGAGGGGGGTAAATGTTGAAGTTAACAACACAACTGCAATGGTAATGTTAAATTTAAACACAGAAACACATTTAAATTGAAATAACAGTGACTCATCAACATACCATTTTTAATGGCTTAGTTGAGGATGAATGTCCTTGTGGTCACCATCAGTTTCCCACCAACTTTGTATTGTTCTAGAGGGTGATAGTCTATCAACAGATCTGGATCCAAGGCAACAGTTTCAGAGAGTTGGCTTTCAACAAGTTCATAAGATCGTAAATGTTCAATGTACCTTGAAACAAGTGTTCGGCAAATAAACGTCACTTCCTGTACATTTATCAGAATGATTGCAATCTTGTGAAATTTTGGAAGGTCATTGCACTGGCCGGAAGATAAAACCATGCCCTCTGCATACTGTGTGCCATGTAGCTGAACGGATTTAGAAAGACTCACACTATCAAGATGTGGATACTTCCTCTCAATTACACACCTCAGTGTGGTATCCAATTCTGAGACCGTGACCACTTTCACTCTTTCAACAATGAGCTTTTCCTTGAAAAGGTTAGGGCTATCCAGGTGGTAGGCCAACAATTGCTGGTGTTTCATGGAGAGAGTAAGCAGCACATTTTTCCAGTTGTTTGTGTCGTGAACCACTTTTAAAAAAAAGCTGTGCTTCGCCTCATATCGCATCGTCCATAATTCCACCAGAGGGCCATAACAACGCATTAGATGTGGGTAATGCTCAATGAAATGGTTCTTTGGTTTAAGTTTGTACTCTGGAAATGTATCAGTAAGCAATTGACGGTGGTCCTGCAGTTTGGAAGACAGACGGCACAGAGCTGCCTCTGAGAGCTTGTGTGAAACAACTATTTCAACAATGTCCTTGAGGTCCATTAAAATCATCCAAGCAGGTTCATTTTGGGGTATCTTGCATCCAATTAAAAAAGGAAGTAAGCGCAACAAAGCCCAATTCTCATGTCCATTGCCTGCAACCGTACCCTTCTTGAAGCTTCCTTTCGAAATGTGTTTTGGTTTGTTTACTTTGTCTGTGTTTTTGTATGGAAATGACTTTATGCTGTTATTAAGCACATCCAACGTTAAAAAACGTTTAGCAATCAAATTTTTCAAACACAAACACAATTCATAAGGGATGACCCCTTCGAAAAAATCATGCAGTATATCTGGAGGAAAGCCATTCACTGTATGAAAGAATTTTAAGTGCTTCTCAAGAACACACTCATTTTTGACACCATCAATGCTTTTGAGTGCTTCGTTCTGCCCGAGCTCTTCCAAAACTGCACTGTGTCCATCAACAGCCCTTAACTGGAAATCCTCAACATGAGTCGTAGCAATTTGGTGCTTGCTTATCAAACAAAACCGACAGAACTTCTCAACATTAAAACTTTCAGAAAAGCCCGCAAGACTATGTGCTGCAAGGTTATCTGCGCACACACAAAACACAGTACCTTTGACAAACTGATCAAGCACTTCAACAAATAGTCCCTCTTCCTCTATACACCGTATATCTTTAATCAAGGGTTCAAGAAACTTTTCATAACCATACGCCTTAACATCATCACTTCTACCAAGTAGAGCAAGCTGAATTGATGTAAGGCTAGATCGGAACTTGGCAGGTAAATTTAGAAGAACCCAATAGACTGCAGTTATCTTATAAATCTTTTTAGAGGTGCCCAAAGGATTACAGATTTCAAAATCATCTGTGTATAATGCCAGACTGATGCATTTGTTCTGCTGTCCCAAAAGCTTATTGTCTTTAAAGTGCTTTCCGTCTTGGAAAGACTTGTAGGATCCAGGGAAAGAATCTTGACCAAATACAACCTGTTCTGAAAAATCTTCTCTATTAAGTAGACTTCTAAGCACCTTTGGGACTGATATATACACAAATGAATTCTTGAGAACTGGGTTAAAAAGATACTCTGTTGGTTCTATTACAGAAAACTTCTCCTGAAAATATAAAGTCCTGCGATAATCTGTAGAGAGGCAGCCTTTTGCAGCTGTTGTTACCAAGAGTGGATTAGTCTTGACAATGGCATCAGATATTTCATGCAGAACTGAATCATCTACTTCAATTGTATGCCTCAAAAGTATCTCTTTCACACTTCTCAAAGTCTGATTGCTAGCAAAAGACAGAATGTTATGCAATTCCTCTACAACTTTTTGTGTAGCGTGCCTACTAATATGCAGCTCTGTTATCATACACAAAAAGAGACTAGCTAATTTGTGCTCAAGTGTTTCACCATCCACAATCTCATCAACGTAATCTACACCACTCTCCAATGACACCCCTGCTTCACAATCATCCAGTTCCCCATCACTTGCTTCAATGTCAGTGTTGCCTCTACATACAGTTCGAAAATCTTTAAGAGTACAATGTCTGTGATTACGGCTTCTATGAGAAGTAAAGGTTGGGCGAATGTTGGTTTTGAAATTGCATCTTAGAATGGGGCATTGCACAGTCTCTCGATTCCTTAAATGGTTTGCTAGATGGTTCCAAAAAGTCTTTTCGCTGCAAATCTCTTTAAAGTCGCACAATTCACATTGAAATGTTGAATTGGGTGAATTTACAGTGGATGTGTGTGATCTTGAGAGGTGTGACCGTAATGCACCAGATGTTTTAAATACACATACACAATCTGTGTAAATGCAAGGCCAATGTGTACCGTGACCGTGGTGAAGCCTACAATGCTTAAGAAGAATTTCCTGGGAGGAGCTTGAAAACTTGCACGACTTGCACTGCATGAAGTCCCTTCCTGAAACAGAATCACACACAAATCATTAGAATACATCTTGCTTATGTTTCCATTAATATTCCTTCATTTCCTAGGTCAATTCCTTGTTAGTGAGTGACAAGGTATTGAAGTAATTAAACATTCTGCAGCCAGAAATGAGCAATGTACGGAAGAGGATTAGGGCCACTGAAAAAAAAAGTTCACCGATCTTTAAATTTTAATTCAGTTTAACATGGGAAAAAAGTCAGAATTCTGATTTTTTTTTCTCAGAATTCTGACTTTTTTTATTTTCAGAATTCAGAGCAAAAAGTCAGAATTCAGAGCAAAAAGTCAGAATTCAGAGCAAAATGTCAGAATTCTGAGAAATAAAGTCAGAATTCTGAGAAATAAAGTCAGAATTCTGAGATTAAAGTCAGAATTCTGAGAAAAAAGTCAGAATTTTGAGAAATAAAGTCAGAATTCTGACTTTTTTTCTCAGAATTCTGACATTTTGCTCTGAATTCTGACTTTAATCTCTGAATTCTGACTTTGATCTCGGAATTCTGACTTTGATCTCGGAATTCTGACTTTGATCTCGGAATTCTGACTTTGATCTCAGAATTCTGACTTTTTTTATTGTCAGAATTCAGAGCAAAAAGTCAGAATTCAGAGCAAAAAGTCAGAATTCAGAGCAAAATGTCAGAATTCTGAGAAAAAAAGTCAGAATTTTGAGAAATAAAGTCAGAATTTTGAGAAATAAAGTCAGAATTTTGAGAAATAAAGTCAGAATTTTGAGAAATAAAGTCAGAATTCTGAGAAATAAAGTCAGAATTCTGAGAAATAAAGTCAAAATTCTGAGAAAAAAGTCAGAATTCTGAGAAATAAAGTCAGAATTCTAAGAAATAAAGTCAAAATTCTGAGAAAAAAGTCAGAATTCTGAGAAAAAAAGTCAGAATTCTGAGAAAAAAGTCAGAATTCTGACTTTTTTCCCATACTAAACTGAAATAAAATTTAAAAATCAGTTAAATTATTTTTTTTTTTTTCAGTGGCCCTAATCCTCTTCCGTAGCAACGACATAGGCCTACACCCAAGTAAATGAATGAGCTTTTTGCATGAAGATCACCGTCTTTAAGGACTTTTTATAACTACAGTAATTATTTAAGTGCATGTTATATTTAGATATGTATTTCACAAATGACAAAACAATCAAATTAAGTGAAGCAAGAAATTAAATACTGAATGGCCAGTATATATCAACAACCTAAAATGTAGTCTAAATCTAGACCTACCGCTCCCTCCACATCAGTTCAGACTAGAGACTGACACAGGAGTGGATTTTCACTCCTGTCCCGTCCCACTCCCACAGAAAAAAATTGTGTCCTGTCCCAATCCCGGGCCAGAGTAGAAAATAAAAGTGCTGTCCCGTCCCACTCCTGGTATAATTACTTGCACTCCCATTCACAATGACTCCCGATCCTGCACCACTCCCATTCTTGTTGCCTTTAAGATTTCTAGCAATACACTGAACCTGATTTTCTTATTTAAGTTCCTGTTTTTTGGCTGTAGTAAAAGCAAGTTAAAGTAAGTGGAATAATGATAAATAATAATAATAATAAAAGTAAAAAAACAAGGAAACAGACCATGCCTAGCTTAGTTTAATAAAAAAGTAAATGTTGCCTTTTACTAATTTATTAAGTCATTGTTTCACATAAACAATAAAGTTACTTTTATGTTTCAAATTTTTGAAACTAACTACTTAATTAATAAAGTGCATAAAGGCAATACTTTCATAATTTAGATAATGTACTTCATTAGCTCAAAAACTCAGTTTTGTAAAAGAAAAAGTTCAATATTGTACAAGCATATTAGTATTTGTACTTTTGCAAGAAATATCCACAAACTAATTAGGGTTTACTATCAGAACCAATACTTCCACCAAACATTAAACACATTCTTGGACAGACCTCTCAGCTTTTTTTAAAAATTCAGAGTGAAATTATGTTAATTTCGGGGACTGGAAAGAGCTGGTCCAGTCAGCTCTGTCTCATTTTTATCCGACCAGACATTAAAAAGTGAAAGAGAAGTGTTAAGATGTTGTTCAGTTAGTGAGTTAAAACAGAAAAAATAACACAACTGTTCAAATAATACTGAATAAAATAATAAAGTAGTTTTAAGTTATTGGCCGTATTATTACACTGTTGCACATTGGATAATGATTCCAGGAAACACGTTTTACAAGCAGGTACTGAATGTTAACACCGTTACATTCAACTCTAGCCAAGTTTAATATTTGCAACTTTCCAGTCAGCTCTGTGATTTAATAGATAAGTCCTTATTTCTGCGTTGCAAATCCAACTTTTCCAGGTTGAGTTCGCGCGTAGCGGTTAATTCTCCCCCCCCCCCCCCCCCCCCCCCTCCCCCCCCCCCTTTCTGTGGTATGAGCGAGCGGAAAACATAGACCGGAAGCACTGTTGGCTTCTGGGTCGTGTAGTTCTTTTGACTTGCATTATAGTTTAGGTTTCTTGGAAAAAAACTATAAAATGGCGGCGGCGACTCTACAATTTCTTTTTTTCTATTTTATTTTATTTTATTTTTAAGCATCGATCCTAGTTTATTGTACCTGCTATTGATTTACTCCCGCTCCCGTTGATATTTAGTCCTGTACCGTCCCAATCACGTGATATTCATGTTGACTCCCATCCCGCGGGAATACACTAAATATACGACTCTGGTTAATTCACCGACCAAATCTTCGTTTCTTTGAATAAAAGTGTTCTATGAAATCGTATTTACAGAAATAACTTAGCTTACCTGAAAATCTCAAGTCCTCCAATCTTCACAAAGGCGTGGGAAAAAGAACCCCAGTTATTGTGTCCTGTGAGGCTAATTATTCCCGGGCTACACATTTAGATGAAAAACACCTGCCAGCCACTGCATCGAACCCGGAGGCTGCCCAGCCTAGAGGCTGCTGATGAAGGGATTTCTACTGTCGGTGCACCGCTGGTATGTGGGGGTCTGAGCGCCTCCGACAGAAATAGATAATCTGGATGAACTGACTGCAATTATTAAGGTTTCAGGTGGCCTTTCTCACTTAAAAACATATTAAAACTACTTTATTCCCACTGATCACAGCAAATATAGCTGCAAGATTTGGATTATTTAGATGAAAAACACCTGCCAGCCGCCGCGGTGAAGAGGAGGCGACCCGGCCAGAGGCTGCTGTTGAATTAAGTTTTCAGGTAGAAAAATAGAGCGGGAGCAAAACTGAGTATGTTTGTGCTTTATTCAAGTATTTATTACAAAGTATTAATCAAACCCATCAAAGTCATCATGCTCTGTTTTTAAATTAAACAGCTGCGCTAAATCAGACATGCCAATTTCCCCTTCTTCGCTGTCAGAGTCACTTTCCGTGCAGCGCGGCTCCTCAGAAATAATGCCGGCTTTTGCAAAAGCTTGAACAACAGAGCCAGCAGACACGTTAGTCCAAGCATCTACAATCCATCCGCAAACGGTGGCGTAACTTGCCCGGCGCTGCCTTCCACTTATCCTGAAACTGTGGTCTCAGTCTGTCATCCATCACTCCCACGCCGCTCGCAGCCTTACTTTGAACGGCCGCTTCACACCGATGTCGAGCGGTGGAAGTTCCTTTGTCAGACCCCCGAGATAACAGCGAGCACAGCGTTTATTTTTTTTCACCATGTTTTTCACATCAGCTGTGAGATGGGCACGCATGCAGTCACATATTAAAAGCGATTGTAATGCATGGAAAAAAACACCTGGTCTCCTCACATAGGCTACACCTCCCTCAGCCACGCTTTCATCATCTCCTCATCCATCCAGCCTTTTTCATTTGCTTTAAAATCATATGTCATCAGAGCGCTGTGTCTGTCTCGCTGTCAGCTCCCAGATCAGCTTCTCTGATTGGTTGATGCGGCGCGTCCAGCAGCAAAACAATTTTTTCCATCTCGAGCAGCAGCAGCGCGTTGGCGGCGCGCTCCCGACTCGCTGCGCCTGCTGCTCAAAACGCGCTGCGGGAGCTTTTGCTGCGTCTATACGCTCGTCAACCGTTGACTTTGCATGTAAACTCGCTGCTTCTGCTGCACCTGCTGCGTCCGGTTCACAGCGAGCACAGCATTAATTTGTTTCACCATGTTTTTCACATCAGCTGTGAGATGGGCACGCATGGAGTTACAGATTAACAGCGATGGTGATGAGTGGAAAAAAAAAACACCTGGTCTCCTTACATTCAGCCACTCTTTCATCATCTCCTCAATGAGGTGGTCTCAAAAGTCGCAGTTGCAACACACATAAGGCGCACCGCACCAAAGGACGCACCGCACATTTTGAGGGAAAAAAAGACGTTTATGTGCGCCTTATAGTCGTGAAAATACGGTAATATGTAGCCAACAGTTGGAAGAAGAATGTTTGGACTTGGATAATAGCGCGTTGTGACAAACACCAGATACAGCACTGGGACTTGATCAACAGCCGATACCGCACCGTGACGTCACACGTTCTTTGACAAACATGGATGTCTCCAGTAAAGAACATTCAAATTAAATTACTCTTAAATAAAAACACTCATCATTTATCGAACAGTATGTAATAATTTAATATTTAAAGTACTTTCAGAAGTTTGAATTCTGAATATGATAAATAAATGTCAATTTTATAATAAATGTATTTAAAAAAGAATATAGTTAATTCACTGCCTTAAATATAATGTGAAATAATTATATGTATTTTAAGGTGTCTTGGTCAGTGGTCATGTTCATTCGGGGGTCACAGGCTGAAAGGTTTGTGAAACACTGATTTAGTAGACAGTCACTCACATTCTGAGTAAAGAGGAAAAGCTACAATAGGTCATTTCTAAAGGATGATGGCTCTTTCATGTTGCCTGAGATAACTGCTGAATTAGATACATAAAGTGAAGGTGCTGCTTAAAAAAAAAACTGCCTCTATTATTCACTCGCAGTAAAATTCTACAAACATTGATTGGAGCTTTCTGTGGATTAAGGCGGAGATGGAGCCAATCTTCTGGC